TTATTAAAGCAATTAATACTCACGTAAAAGAAACGAAAATGAACTGATAATGAACAGTTATTCGTCAGAGTTCAAACTACACTGCACATACATTAACATACTCATTTAAAAGAGACGGTTAAAAAGGTTCCATTACGTATACATAATAAAAAATGATTTGATGAATCTATTGGTTTGAGAGCAATCGAATTAAGTCAGATATAGACTTCTTCAGAGTTGTTATATTCGTATACATATTATACTTTAATACAAAAGAAGAAATAAGATTATATTTATCTTTGATCATGGCAATATATTCTCAAATAAGTATATAATTGTTTACAAGTATAATGTAATTATTTGCAAAGAACTTGTTATGCTTCATACTATTAGTGATTGTTGAAAGGTTGTAACATCTAATTATCAAAAAAAAACATTATCAAATTATTATTTGTTTCTAACTTTCTTCCGATTTCCTGTGAATTACGATCAGTACACGACCAGACATCAATGATAATTGAAATTTAATGCTAATTTTCAATTTTCATTTTAATTTGTGTTGACCTCATCTATTTAAAGTTACGTAAACAAAATTGCTACATAAGTGAATCACATTTGCATCATCAATTGCATTTTTTAGTAGTTAATTTCCTAGCAAATGGGATTTCTAAATATTTAAATCTTCTTTGCAATCGATGAAACAAATTAAAAAGATCCAATATGTAATCAATATACGTGTAGCGTTTCATAGCAGTAGAATTCGAACGATGATACTTATCACATTTCTTCAAGTCGTATTAGTATCTGGTAAAAGGTAGTATCGTTATTAATGAAGCTTAAATTAATATCACTTTAATCTTCTTGCACGTAATATTTAATATTTACAATATTATATTTATTTATTTATTTATACTATTGCTATTAAGATTGAGATTTAACGAAATCCAATCAACAGAACAAACTCAATTTTCATGAATATTAATTGAAATGGAAAACCGATGATTGTATTACACATTCAATTGCATGACTGTTAATTTTCGTCAATTTATATTTCTTTGACGCCTGCGAATTAATTTACGAGAAATCTAGTTCGTAATTTGTTTCTAATTAAAAGAAATAATTATTTAGCAAACATTTACAATGTTGCATAGCATATTTTACGAGAGTCATCAATGCGAGAATAATGAAAAAAATTTTAAATCCATCGTTGAAGAAATGGTGAAGGAAATTAGTAATCAAAGCAGTTGCATTGTCTTTGTCAGCGATTCTGTCTATCGAAATTTCATAGATATTAAAAATATCAAAGGTTTTTCAACTACGTTGAAGTACGAGGTATGATATTTACAATTCTCAACTTTTCCTGTATAAAAATATAACATGCATTGTAGATTGCTTTGCGGGACAATGAACAGTTTTTGAGACCAAGACGACGAATTCAAAGAATTTTGACCGAGGGAAAAGCAGTCGATTGCCGTGCATATGTTATACTAATTGCTAATGGATTTTTGGCAGCGGAATTTTTGCGATATACAGAAAGGTAAATATATAATGTACGATAATGTATAATATAAATATATAATCAGAATATTGTCAAAAAAAGGTCTGAAATCTTCAAAGTCCGTCATTTGGTAATTCTATTATTGCAAAATGCAAACAAAAAATTGTCGAAACGTTTTAAGCAATAATTAGATTTGTTCGAAACAATTTGTTGAAATCCCTATTCTAAACACCTCGAAAGAAAATTTCAAGTTTCGAAAGTTCGAAATTTTGTACTTTCGGTGATCCGAAATTTTCGAAACTTAGATAAGAAAAATATAAAAATCAATGAACGAAGAATCAGTTGCAATGTAAATAAAAAAATATTTGATTCGTATCTCGAATTCGAAAATAATAATGTAAAATATCTAAATTTAAAATATTATATCAAAAAAATATTTTATTACACGATGTTATCATCAATGGTATACTCTGAAAGAAAATTTTTTAGTAATAAACAAATTAATTAAATAAATAAATAAATAAATAAATAATTATTTAATTAAATTTAATACATAATTAATTAAAATAAATAAATAATTATTTAATTAAATTTAATACATAATTAATTAAATAATTAAATAAATAAATTAATTAATTAATTAACAAAAAAAGGTAGTACAGATCCAGAAAGAATTCGGATGTTGGTGTCCTTAACGAAGATTAGATATTTTTGTACTTTGTTATATTTTTGTTTATATTTTATAGCTGACAAAAATTGATATAAAAGTGTTAACACGAGAAATTAAAACGAGAAATTCCTCTTGCAAAATCAGTACTTCAAACTTCGAGAGTTTCGAGTTTCGAGAATTTAAATATTAGTTTCGAACCAATCCCCAATAATAATGCATTATCAATCGATATTACAAACAATGATTTTGATTTATTATTGAGTGAAAATTAGTAGAACTATAGTATTATGAGATCCGGAACTTCGTGATTTAATTGCACGTCGTTTACGATATAGTTATAAATATATACTTAGAGAAATTATACAATATGATGAACACTTTGTTTAAAAGGCTTGAAACATATTGAACCGAAATTGGATAAGAATCATTTTTTCTTACGAACCCTTCAGTTCTTCTTCTACACCAATTGTTGTTTGATTAGTTTGATTGATTAGAAAATATTTGAAATTAGTTCTTATTTTCCACTAAATGTATTGCATTTATTTTAATGCTCCATCGGATCGATATGACATCAAGGATCGAACCACGAAGTTGTAAGTTTTGTGTTAACCATGAACACCTATGGCGGATATTTATTACTAAAATTTTAAGTAGCATTGGCGGATATCATTCCTGTTAAACGCAAATTAGAGTGATAGCAAAGAATTTAATTTAAATTTAATTTTAATTTATACTATACGTACACGTTTTATGCGATAAAAATCATTAACAGTAAAAATCATTAGCAGCAATTATCAGAGTACAAGATAAATAAACTAAATAAGTTATAAAGTAAGTATATTAAGTAATTATTATGGATAACGATTTATGTATATGTTAAATATTTTAATAAGAGCGATTTTTAAGAACGTTGCTAATTGTTAATAAATAAAATGTTTATAATAAACATATTCAGTTTATTATATATAATAAGTAAGTAATCAGTTTATTATATATAATTTCTTCCAGGCACTGTATGTTTTAAATAATTTATGTGGATGACTATGAAGTTTTGAATGTATTCATACTAATGTTTTACATTTTACATTTATGCTAGTAATGTTTTATTAATAAATTTCGTAAATTTGGAATAAATAAAAATCGTAAATTTGGAATAAATAAATAAAATTTGGAATAAATAAATATTAATAAATTTCGTAAATTTGGAATAAATAAATAAAATAAATCTTTAATTTTTATTTTCAGGGAACGTCTCATTAATACGCGTGGATTATTTCTATTGATATATGATTCTCGTTTATTTCAACCATATCTGCATTATCTTTGGAATAGAATAATTAATGTAGTTTTCATTCGTCAATACAATGCATATAAGCATCGTTCTGGTGAAGAAGCTTCCAAAGAAAGAATTGATTTAGATACAATTTATTTCCCTTCTCACACAAGAAAATCTATTGCGACAAAGTGTATAGATACTTGGTACAAAGGGAAATGGCGTTATGGTACCAATCATTTTACAGAAAAAATCACCAACTTACAAAAAAAGCATTTACAGTATGTAGAAAAAAATTAAAATGTTATAATTATAACTATTACTTTAAAAAGAATGGAATATAAAGAGTTGATATATGTTTTAGAATTGCCGTATTTGAGCATATTCCAGCAGTGACAGAAAAATCAAGGATATATTACAACAAACAACCAGATAATAAGATAAAAGGTCTGGGAATAGAATTTGAAGTACGTACTACATATAAATACGATTTCTCGTGCTTTATATTTATATTATTTCATATTTTCTAGCTAATACAGATTGTATCAAAAGCAATGAATTTTAAACCAAAATATTATATGCCTAATAATATTACTTCTGAGAAATGGGGCATTGAAGAAGATAATCAAACTCATATTGGACTAGTAAGTGAAGCTATACAAGGAAAGGCTGCATTTTATTTGGGTGATTTGTATTATACATTACACCATTTGAATTATTTTGACCTTACTATCCCATATAATAGCGAATGTCTTACATTTTTGACACCAGAATCTTTAACTGAAAATTCATGGAAACTTCTAATACTTCCATTCAAGTAAGTATAAAATGAAAAAAATTTAATTAATAAATAGATAACATATATATATATTGTATTTCAGACTTTATACCTGGATTGCTCTTGTCCTTACTTTAATTTTAGGAAGTGCCATATTTTATTTTTTATCATTATCATATAAAAGACACATCAGTTTTTATAAAAATCAAATGTTTAAAAATATATCAATGAAGAATGAAATAAAAGGATTATATCTATTTACCGAAATAGGAAATAGTATTTTATATACTTATAGTATGCTGTTTCAAGTTTCATTACCAAGCTTGCCAAGCCCTTGGGCTGTGAGAGTATTAATTGGGTGGTGGTGGATTTATAGCATTTTAGTTACAGTTGCTTATCGAGCTAGCATGACTGCAACTTTAGCAAATCCGGTTGCCAGGTAATAATTATGTAAACAAAATATTTCAGTGCACTATATGTTATTTATATCTGAATACAGAGTTACTATTGATACACTGGAACAATTGGCAAAAAGTTCTATAGGAGTCGGAGGATGGAATAAAGAAAGTAAAAATTTTTTCTCAATGTCATCAGATCTTAGCAGCCAAAAAATTGGCAAAAAATTCCAACTAATTGAACAAGAAGATGAAGCTATTGAAAAAGTTGCAAATGGTTCTTTTGGTTATTATGAAAATTCCTATTTGCTTCGACATGCCCGTGTGAAAAGACAAATATTAGAGAAAGAAAGAAAAGAAAATAAAACTACAGAAAATATATCATCAAAACATAATTTGCATATCATGCAGGAATGTGTTATAAATATGCCAATAGCTCTTGGCTTAGAAAAAAATTCACCATTGAAACCAAAAGTTGACACTTTAGTATGTATTATTTTTTATAAATCACTATATTTATAAATCACTTATTTTTTATAAATCACTGTAAAACTATCAAAAGTATAGCAATAATGTGATTTACACAATATACATTCTTAGATAAGGCGTATAATAGAAATTGGATTAGTTGAAAAATGGTTAAGTGATGTCATGGAATGGTCAAAAATCATGGAAATACGACAAGAAGCTGAGTCAGAGAAAGCATTGGTTAATCTTCATAAGTTACAAGGTGCATTTATTGCAATTATAGTTGGATACCTATTAGCATTCATGATTTTAATAGGTGAAATTTTACATTGGAAACATATTATATTAAAAGATCCAATGTTTGACAAGTATCATTTAGATATATTTTATAGTAGTACTAGTAATCCTAAAATAAATAAACAATTTACACATGTTCCTTAATTAACTTTTTAAGAATTGAACAAAATTTATTTTGTTATAGTACTAAAATTCTAAACATATATTTACAGTATTACCTTAGCCTTTAATTATGTTTACAAAATTACAAAAAATACTACTATATTGTTAATATAGAAATAATGTACATAAAAAATGTAGATACATACATACATATATACATAAGGTATGGCTATGGTTACAGATTACAATATGTGTATAACTAAAAAAGTTACTATTAATATAATGTAAATATAATTGTGACAAAAACGTAGTATAAATTCTTAGTAAAATGTTGATGAAATTACATACCAATATTATAACAAAAAAGGTTAAATATTCTTCCTCTCTTTGTTACACAGGCACTTGTTCTTACTTATTCATTGAATTGCTTTCTCTTTCCCTCTCTCTTTATTTCTCATGATGTTTCCCCCTCGTACTTGACTATCTTTTTTCTTTTCTAATATACATTACATATTTTTATCGTTAGTTTTCCTACTTTTATTCTCTTACGTCCTTTCTATATCATTTGCTCATTTATTTATATTACTCTCGTTATTTAAACCCATTGTTTTACTGTATAAAGAAATATTTTTCTATACTCCTTCTCTCTTGCATTTATTTATATTCTTGTTTTCCCTTATGCTGTAACATGTTTTCTCTTGTAAATGTATATACATATGTACATATATAGAAATATGTATGTAACATATCTATGCAGTACTTCGGTTTTCAAAAATTGCAATTCGAAAGAAATGTCACTCTACGAATTTTTGAGAATTTCCCATACTTATCATGTTAAATAAATTTAAAGGCATATAATTAATAACGACTTTTATACAAATTAAAAATAAGATAAATTTTTCATTTATATCAGGCAAATAGAGATTCAGAGTAAATACAGAAACTTTTACGATTTCGGAAAATCACCAAGTAATTACATATATATGAAGATTTTCATATATGTACAAACTTAAAGAATTGAATCTGAAGTATTATTGGTTGATATTGTAACTTTGACTATTTCGATATGAAAATTTATTGCTAATTTGTTTAAAATTGTAAAACAAGAAGTAAATTAAGCTGTTTATTAATAGCTTAATTTACTTATTGTAATTAGTAAATGCACCTGAACATATTTTAATAATATATTTTATATATGTGTATGTATATTCTTATAGGTTATTGAAAATGACATCAGTAGCGGAGAATACAAAAGACAAAGGGCAAGAAGATCCTATTAGATGTATATTTTTTTCGGAATTTCATCCTATTGTAGGTCCAATGATTACTTGTCAGGTTGGCAAATGTTTTATTAAATATTTTTATTCATTATAAATACTTTTGTATGTAATTAAAAACATTTTCTATAGTGATTTTCTATAATAATATATGTCTTTTACTAGGTTCCAGATAATTTTATTTCAAAAGATATTTTTGATACTGTCAGTGTTTATATTATACCAAAAGCAAAGTTACAACGTAGTACTATCACAGTGTAAGTGTAATTAAGAAGATACGAGAATTTGTTTTGGACTAGTTCACTAAGACTGTTTATTTTGTGCAGAACATTAAAGGATTATAAAATCCTAGGATTTCCAGTAAAGATTGACAACAAAAAATATGCAAGAAATGCATTTTATTTTAATTTATGTTTTGTATGTGAAGCAAAAGCTCGTACTGTACATTATGAACCGGTTGTGAAAAAGATGTCTGATTTTTTAGTAAGAAGTTGTACGCATATTGATGATAATTGTTTTATCAATATTATTAAATTTTATTAAATTTAATTTAACATTTCAGATGGCTCTTGAGGTAGAAAATTGTTTTTTATCTGCCTCTGAGGATAAAACAAGATTAGCAGAAATGTTGCAACAGGTAATGCAGGATTTGAACTTGCACAAAATGTGTACATTAACAGGTAAACACATTTTATAAATAATAACTTTGCACAAAAATATTAAAGATATAAAACATAATATTTTAATAGAGGGGACCATGACGTCCCATTTGAAAGTCATAAAGTTAGCACCTGAGCCGAAACCAGTTCTTGATCATCAGGTACCAATATTCTTGGAGGGCCGTGAAGTATTTCAAACGGATCAATGGGATTTAACTACCCAGCAAGTATTACCATACATTGATGGATTTAATCATGTTGCACGAATAGCAGCTGAAGCAGATGTGGAGAATAATCTAGTTAAAAGTTGTGTGCAAAATCTTATGTAAGTATATAAAAATAAAATTTTATTTTGAAGATTTAATTTCTATTGTATTGATTACTTTAATTCGCTTTCAGTTATTATGGTGTTGTAACTTTGATTCCAATATTTCAATACAGTAACGTATATGCTGCAACTTCTAAATTAAAAGAATTGGCCGAAAATATAAAATTACAAGAACGATGTATAGCATATGCCTCAAAATTCCGTAAGTTTTATATTTTCGATGTAAAAGCTTGTAACAATTAGAAAATATTCTACAAATGACTAATTTTTAGCTAGACAACCTGCATATCTTAGAGACATATATCGAATGTATGCAAGTATGACACATGGCAACAGCATGAGAGACTTGTGTCAACGTCTTAATCCTCAAAATTTGAGAATCAACGAAAGACGTTTGGTACAATTTGGTCTTATTGAAGGTCTTATTCGTCGGGTATATAAGGTTGTCAAATCTATTATGAAAGCTGTACTTTTTTTTAAAATCATTTAATTTTTAACTTTTATCAACTTCTGTAATTTGCAGTACCCGATATATTTACCAGGATCACCTTACAATGAAGAGATAAAGAACAATCCAGTTTATAAGTATTTTACAGGAACATATAGCCTTGACGAAATTTGTTGCAGTACAGGTCAATCAGCTGCACAAATCGAAGATATTATTGAACGCGATCCGAATGTTGTTATGTTATGGAAGTAATATTTAGAAATAGTATTTAATGAACTTTGTTTTCTGTGATCTTCATAGATGTAAATGTCGTTCATTTATGCAGGATATATTATGAATTGATAGGCAACTTTATTCTATATTACTGATCATTCGTTTCACTTTATTGATGTATATTTGAGGCACTCTATTTCTTTTCATTTCCTCACATTTCCTTTCCATTGCATCACATAACTTTTTCTTACGTATAGCGGCTTCTGTGCGAATTGCTAAACCTTCATCAAACATCTTTTGCCTTGCTTCGATACGTTCTCTCTCTTTCTCGTTGACCTAATGAAAATGATAGTTATGTAATATAGAGTAATTTTGTAATATTATCAAAAGAAAAATAGTAAGTTGAAAAGTGTATAATCTAATTCTGAAGACAAACCTGTTTTAATATTTCGCTCCTATGAATTATCGCTTGCCGCTGTTTCTTTTCAAGTTCTTTTTCTTCTCGACAGAAAGCTTCCTTTTGGACACGTACAATTTTTTCGAATTCACGCCTTTCTCGTTCTAGTTCAATTGCCTCCATTATTCGTTTGTTATTTATTTGTTTCTTCCTTTCTTCCATAAGCAACTTTTGAGCCTCCGCTCTTTTCAGAGCTTCTTCTTTTTCTTTTTGTCTCCATTGTCGTTCCACTTCTTCTTGAATTCGTGCAGCGCTCAAGTCATCGATTCGTTCCTACAAAGGTGGAACATGTCATTATCAAAATATAAGTGCGAAACGTATAATTATTTGTCTATTCTTATTTGTAAATAATGTATAATAAAATTTATAATGATACAAAAAAGAGATGAATTCAAAAAGGGTGGCGAGGTTATTATAATTGTAATATAAACTGGAAAAATAGATAGAAAAAAAATGAACCTGTAGATCTCTTGCTTGCAACGTCTGTGTTGCAATAGTTGCTTTAAGTTTTTCTTTTTCTAATTTTTTCAAATTTCGCTCTTCCGCCAATTTCACTTCCCTCTCTGCCTTATATCGTTGATACTCTTGTATCCTATAAAATATTGTTAATGATCAAAAATTCAATAATTTAACAATGTAACAAATTCTACCTAAGGTCAATGATTTTATTTTCCTGCTCTTCCATAGCTTTAAAATGTTTCAATTGTTCGTTTCCTTCAGCAAGTTGTTGTCGTATTAGTGCATTTTCAGATTCTTTGTTTCGCAATTTTGCAATTTCTTCCTGTTGCCAATTGATATTGCTTAAATTAATTAACCGACTCTCCTCTTGCTTCCTTTCAAACTCTAATATCCTGTTCTCTTCGTTTTCTTTTATCTGTTCCATGAGACTGTTGGCAAATGTCTGCCTCTTTACAGCTTCGTCCTGTTCCTTTTTAATCTCTTCTTTGATTGCCCATCTTCTTTCGTTCTCCATCATGTCATTGAGACGTTTCTCTTCTTCTTCCAATTCGAGTTCAATCAGCCTCTTCTCTGCTATCTGTAAAAAAAGTTACGAGATTTAGGTGAAAATGTTGAAACCAAAATTTTTAATTCATTTATTTAATTCATTTACTTAATTACTTACTTAATTATATTAATTTAATTTAATTTAATTTAATTTTTTATTTTAATATTTAATTTAATTTAATATTTAATTATATTTAATATTTAATATAATTATTTAATATAATTTATAATTTTTTATTTAATATAATTATTTAATATAATTTAATATTTAATTATATTTAATTTAATTTAATTTTATTTAATTTTATTTAATTTTATTAATTATTTATTTAATTATTTACTTATTTAATTTGTTACTTGCATTACCTGGGCATCTCTGATTGCTCGACATTTAGTCTCTAAAATGATTCTATTGCACTTTTGAATTTCCTCTTCTCGTTCAAGTTTCATGTTCTCTGCTCTTTCGAGCACATGTTTCGCCCTTCTCCTAGCTTCCTCCTCTATTTCGATCAATTGCGGACACTTTTCTCGTGGCCTTTCTTTATCTAATCTACGAAACTCCTCTTTCCTCTCTATGCTCTCTTTTATAAGTCTTTGCCTCTCTTCCTCCTCTGCTTTAAGCGCCGCTTCTCGTTCCTCCTTCGTCATGGAGCTATACTTTTGAAATTCCTCGTACTCTTCTTTCGTCAAAATTTTTGGATGCAGCAGTCTCTTCTTCGCGATCTTCTTCCCACTAAGTTGCATCTTTGGTTTACTTTTACCGATCCTTTTGATTGGCTAAATGATTTAACATACAACGGATCACTACAGATAGGATTATTATTTGTGTATTAATTAATTAACAATGTGCTAAAATATTAAGATACTGCCCTTTTTTCTTTTTACTCCAATGCTTAAAACTTTAAAGTGAAAATATAAACTTACCTCTTTTTCATTGAACGAATAACGATGTTGGTCAGATTTACACTCGCCAGTCCGAACACAAGTATTCTGTCGTTTACTCGAGCAAACATCTTTGAGTTTAGTTTCTTTTCGATTCATCACCGAAGCCGGTGATCCACGAATTGTGTTTGCCTTTGATGTATTATTTCTCACTATTTGCACCACCATTTCGCACTTTCTGAGGTTTTACTTTTCCTTATTTTTTTTAGGTTTTACAGCGTTTCTTACATTCTTTAATCAGTTGTTCTTTTAATTAATTAATCATCTGCAAAGGCTATATTTCTAACCAAATGATTTTCTTCACGTTAAACAAATGATTATTATAACGAGGTATCGATCTGAACAATTTCTATGATTTACTTCAATGGCACAAGATATTTTTGTTACTGTCGCGAATGCCGATGATACAAAAATAGGACTAAATTAACCCAGGAAGAACTGACATCGAGGACTGATGAGGTATCAGTTTGTTCATTATTTACAAGCGGTAACCCGCGATTTCGTCATTTGTTTGGTCAATAATAATCCGACATATTTCTTCCCAAAATGTTCTTCATGTCAATATCAATATCATTTCAATACAATTTCAATATCAGAGTGTCTACAGCTATCAATCAAGTTTAAATAGTTGTTACTAAAATACTTGTTACTAAAGTATAATAAAAAAAATGTAATAAAATGTTAGAACTTACGCAAAACTTTTAGATATTTATCGGCAATACTTCTTTAAATACTCTACGTTTTCGTCGAAACACATTCCGTGAACACATAGTTATTGAATACATTCGATTTGATTCTATTTTACTAATTTTAGCGAAAAAGAAGAACCGGCAGGAACAAAACGGTAGGGTGATTCACCCCTTTTGTTTGTGTATGTGTTCGTTGCCGAGGTTCCCTACGTTGTCGACTTTCTTCAGGTGGGAAATCGCACATGTGGCTGCGTTTCGTTTGTTAACTATTCATATTGCAAGCAAAATATACAATCTATATACTTGTAGAATATTCGAAACGAGTGTTTAACGTTCTACTTCTAGTTCATTAACTTTGAACTATCCTTAGTTATTGTAGCCCCGTTTGAAACATCTGATAGAAAATCAATCTTAAAACGATTAGTGAAGAGAGCATTATTGCTATTTTTATTTTTCACTAAAGTATACAGGATAATTTTAAACGGGTGTAACAGTAATTAACAATAACTTTGTTATAAATATCGATGAATGCAATAAGGATGACTGTAAAAAAAAGTTTTATCATTCGATAATTTCAATGTAACTGGAAACAGAGATTTTACCCAAAAAAAAATCATCACGTTATATTACGTCTGAGGGCTTCCGAAGAGATAGCATTGTGTTTCTGCCTTTTTTCATACTGTTTTAAATTTAAAGTGTTTCTCAAAGGAACCATTATCATGTTTTATAGAGCTGGCAATAACTGTCCCCCGATGAGTTTCTCCGTGGGAAATATACAATACACCGATTATTCGGCGAATCGATTTTGTAAGGGGAACTTTTACATTTAAGCATTAAACAGCGTCTGAAGAATGAAAAAGTCGATCGATATCATCCAACGTACAATGACCATTTCACACACAGTAGTTAAATTTAACTTGAACCGCTGTATCGAGATACTACTGCACGCTGTAATGGATTTTTTTTTGGAAACTTTGCCATTCGAAAAAAATTAACATTTTTGTTTCCTCCAGGAACCTCATTAGCTTAGACGTGCAACGAATGGAGCTGCGATAGACTATACGTAGTGACTGAGGTAAAGTAGCAATTATTAAAAAGTTAATCTTTTAAAAAGTCTTCTTAAAGTTGTTAGATATTGTAACAGTGTGGTCTTACATTTCTTTGAGAGAAGACATTGAATACCATACT